TCTCAAATTGACCCACCCGTTTACTAGCGAATTGGTATAATTGTGACCACTATCCACTATATTCTTTTGAAGGTTGAGTTGAGTGGATGGCGGTTGGGTGCGGTTAGATTGTGAGTTAAGCCCCAAAAGCATTTCTCCAAATAGTCATTAAGAAACTTGACTAACATTTATAAAAAAAAATTCCTTAAATATTAATAAAACTGTATCAATTAAAAAAATTCCGACATTGTCTCATGTGGCTCCATGTAGTATTTGCATCAAAGTTTTCATTACTCATTTTACTAATATCTAATAGATATTATACAACACAATAACAAATAATTAGGGCTGGCTATTTGGTCTGGATTTTTTGATTTTACTCGAAACCAGACCGTATAACCCGGACCGAGACCGGATAGTAAATAATCCAATCTAATATTTGGGTTTAGATTTGAGGTAAAAAACTGTTCGGGACCGGATCAAAAATTGGATAAAGACCGGATAAGAGAGCTCAACACCCAAAACTTAAGTGTAATTTGCATAAACGGTCACAAACCTTTGCACTTAGTACAAAAGTTAACCAACTCCTCACACTTTCAGGCCTTAGGCCACTCAAATCCCCACAAGCTCAATATAAAATCAAGATCGAATCGGGACCGGATCGAGTCAAGACCAGACTGTATCCAATCTAATCTTTGGTCCTTATATTTTCGAAAAGACCGAACGGGGACTGGATCAATTTGGACCAATTTAACCGGACCGGACCGTATAGCCACCCCTACAAATAATAGTGATCCTAAATATTCTTCATTCTCCACCTTTACAAGTAGAGGGTCAATGTGAAGTGCAGTTAGGAAATATGATAACTATTTGATAGTATAAGAAACAATATTAAGCCATATGAAAATATGTTGCATGTCATTCGTGTGATCCACAATCCACCCACCACCCATCCGCATAAGTGCGGGTAGGAGATTTATCAATTTGCAATCCACCCCACATCAATCACCCACTGCCTATAGTTCGGATTATTTACGAGTTGGTCGATATCAACCTACGGATCAACCACCCACGTGCGGCGTGCTCACCCCTGATGAGAAGGATTAGGAGAGCTGCATAAGGGTTACGAATCATAGATCAAAAGAAAATGGGAGGCGATAGCTGAATTCAAAGCTAAACTGAGGTAAGTATCCTTCATAATCGTAATGTTGATGCTGGCGATGCGGGGGGGGGGGGGGGGGGGGGGGGATAAAATTCTGAACTAGGAATAAAATTTTGAAGGGTTTTACGTGCTTGTATATAGATAGGACGTCGAAACACCAAACTATCATGTCATCATTCAACCTCTGTATAAGTGGGAATTAATTTGACAGATGGATCGGAGATGGATTAATTGATTAGTAAATGGGTAGATGATGAAATTACGTCGGGTGATGTATAAGGTTGGGGAATCGTTCAAGCCAATCGACTTGAAAGTAAGATGCACTGGTTTGAGAGAGCTAGTTAGTAACCTACTTTAACTTATTTAAGTAATTATGTGGTTTGATTGATTTAGATGTTCAAATATTCTTTTTTTTTTCATTTTTAAGTTATTATGATCACTCATTGAGTATCCTTCTACACATTTTTATGTTAAGTTTATTATGTGAATTTCTTACGTTATAGTAAGCATAGCATTGCATTACGAACCTATGTATTAAGACATGTTAAACGCTACAATACTGTAATTTAAGAAATTACAGTAAGCGGATCTAACTTCATGATTAGACCTGGTAAATTACAACTCGACCCGTTGACCCGACCCGAAACCGTCCGAACACTAGAAATTTTTGTAAACCGAAATCCGAATGACCCAAAATCGATAACCCGTAAGTTTTTGGGTCGGGTTGGGTGGGTTAGCGGGTCGACCCGTTAGACCCGTTCCATTTCATATATCACTCCTAAAATATGATAAAATCACTCATAAATTGGTGAGATGTTTAAAAAAATCACAAGGATTTGAATGACATGTTTGGAGTTTAAGGATAATCAAATATCATGTGTTTCTTGTAGTAGTATTACTCTTGTGATTGTGTTTTGAAGATTTGCGCAATTTGTATTTCATTTTATTAGCGTGGGAGGATTTGAGAATATGTTAATTGACATGTGTTAGGTAAACTATTGTCATGCATATGTGAAAATTTGTATTCTTTAAGAAAATAAGAAGCATGTTTGATATTGTTTCTGAGAACGCTTGTAACTCGAAATGACCTGTAACCCGACCCGAAACCAAATGGGTTGGGTCAATATTTGACATGAAATCAGCCAACCAAACATAACCCGACCCGTAACCGAAGTCCACAACCCAAAATTACCCACCCCGACCCGATTGCCAGGTCTACATTATGCTCATTCTTCATTTATCATATTGCAAACGCTACAATATATAACAACTTATATCAACTTTGACTCCCATTTGATGTCATCGAATTTCATTGAAGATTCATTTATCAATATCTCTTTCATTTTGCAAAACAGGCACATGCGGTTATGCCAGCCCAATTATAATACTTGGAGATTCGAATATGTTTACAAAGCATACCAGACCATCAACACACCACAAAATTGATAAAGCGTACTAGAAAACTCAAAGGAAACGATAAGTTTCTTAAAACATTTCTGAAACATCATAAAGCATACCACAAGTTTCGTTAAGCAATTAAGAAACCTTATAAAGCAAACCACAAGTTCCTTGAGGTATACCACAAACCTCATAAAGCATACCACAAGTTCCTTGAAGCGGACCAGAAACCGCTTAAGTATATCACAAGTTCCATGAGGAATACCAGAAACCTTATAAAGTAGACCACAAGTTTCCTAAGCATACCGGAAATCTCAAAAGCATACCACAAGTTCCTATTCACATTCTAGAACCCTCATAAACCAAACCACAAGTTCCCTGAAGGAGACTAGATCATATGTTATTTCTTCGAAGATCTTTTATTGCTAAATCTCCGGAGCGGAACTGCTCAGTAACCAGACCATATGCATAAATTTTCAGGGTAAATTACAAGTTTGGTCACTGGTTTTACAAAAAAGGTTCACGTTTAGTCACTAAAAATATTTAATTAAATTCGTAGTCACTAAAATTAGTTCAATAATTTGAATTTGGTCACTCTCCGTCCAAGTCCGTTAATTTTAGCTGATGTGGCGGTCAACTTTAATAATTGACCGTTAAATGAGTGACGTGTCATTTAAAAAATATAAAATAACTAAAAATTAATACTTTACTATTTACAAATAATTTTCAAAATATATAAAAATAAATAAAAGAAAACCAAAAAATAAGGTAAATTACTTCTATCCTCCCTCGCACGTCGATAGTTTTCCAGCCATAGATCCCTTCACCTCCTCTCTTCTCCATTCGGATCTTATCTTCCTCCCAGAATCCACACTCAACCCTCCCTCCTAAGATTTGAAGCTCCGTTCCAAAGGTAAGCTCCTCAACAACAACCCCGGTTCACTTCGACGAACGGATCTCAGTATCAGCAACAGAGACCGAAACCCGCCGCCAGTTCTTCAAGATCTCCGCCATCTTCTGCTTTTCTGTCTTTTGCGGGAACACCTCCCTACATTACCTCCCGGTCTCCTTCAATCAGGCCATTGGAGCAACTACGCCATTCTTCACCGCGATTTTCGCGTTTTTAATCACCTGCAAGAAGGAATCAACGGAGGTCTATTCGGTGCTGGTGCCGCTTGCTGCCGCTTCTTGTTTTGGTATGGATCAAGATGTAGAGAGAGTTAGTGATTGAAGAGATATGGGTGTTTGTCTCAACCTAGTTTCTTTTTTTGGTTTTGGAAATTGAAAGAGAGGTGGGGGAGCGATGGGTTTGGGGGGATTTTTTTTGGTACAGGGTAAATTGGTGTTTAAGATTGGGGCTGAGATATACTGAAGGAAAGGTAGGGAAAAAGAAGGAATTGAGCCGATGAGGAGAAAGATGGTAGATAGGAAGTTGAGTTTTGGGTGAAGGAATTGCGTACGGGCAAGGCTTACATAAGCAGCGACCGGGAATTTCTCCGGTGAGGTTAGGGTTAAATCTCAATCTTAGCATTACAATTATTATTTCTGTTTTATTATTTATTTTAATTTATTGTGAAAATGATGTATAAATATAAATTATTAATTTTTTTTAATTGCCACATTAGTCATTTAACGATCATCTATTAAAGTTGACTGCCACGTCAGTGAAAGTTAACGGACTTGGACGGAGAGTGATCAAACTTGAATTATTGAAATAATTTTAGTGACAACGAATGGAATTAAATATTTTTAGTGACCAAACTTGGACCTTTTTTGTAAATCCAGTGACTAAACGTGCAATTAACCCTAAATTTTCAAAATGATATCAACTTTTATATTGGAACACAAAATTGAGACATATATTACCAGTTTATACCAAAATGGTAATGCTTGCTTGGTAGCACATAAGATTATATCATGATGGTATAGAAGTGTATCATATATAGTTGTATGAATATACCATAATGTATAATGGTTGTATACATGATGCTAGCAATATAATAATCACCATTTACCATCTTTTATCACTGTCTATCACCAGTTACCACCTTATACAAGGGATGGTATATGGTGATATATTTGAAGCTATAATTTATTTTCCATAAATTGTAGATCACAATAATATATCACGATGAAGTCATTCCTTCAGTGCAAATTCTTTTAAGATCTGAGTTAAAAATAAAGGTTAGGGGTGGATTTTCAGTTAGTTCGGTTATAACCGATAACCGAAATGTTGGTTACCGGTTAACCGAGGTATACGCTATTACTACCGCCAACCGACCGAAGGAAAGCTTCGGTTAGCCGGAAACCGACCGGTCGGTTACCGGTTAGTTGCTCGGTTAACCGAAGTAACCGCGGAAAACTCACTACATTCAAGTTAAGAAGCCATTTTCCAGCTGGAGGAGACTGCTGAAATGAAATTAATTAACTATGATGGCCGGCAAAGCAATCCACTCGGCAATTAATACAACCTCACCCTCCCAAAGGAACACCATCTTCCCAGAGACACCGAACATTGCTTCTTTATAGCGCTTCCTCCTTTACCTTCTTCATCCAATACGTCGTCGTCGTGGCGGCGGCCATGCAGCCCGGAGCAGGAGAAGCACCGGCTCCGCCACGCATTCCTCCTGTGCGCGTCAGGGGAGCGCCCGGAGGAGGAAGACGATGATGACGTGGAGGAGGAGGACAACGAGCAATTGGAATTGTAATTTCGATCGGAATAATGAGAAGAATAAGAAGAAGATGCGGCAGAGGACCTCAACCCCCGACTCGAGGCTGCAGCTCCGGTTTTGGGGAAAAGGGCTATGAAGAGGAAGTTGGGCAGCCTCATGGCGGTTGCTGGCTGCGACTACGAGTTGGATGGCGGTTGCTGGCCGCGAGCAAAGGAGTGAAGGGATAAGGGAGCGGCCGCGACGGCGTAGAGCGGTGGCGTCGGCGCCCTTCAGGGTCGGGGAGGGAGAAGGGAGAAGGAACTGTCAAGCTCCATGAGCGGTAGAGAAGAGAAGGAAGAAGATGAAGAAGAGTCCCCTGATTGGCAACGGTCGACTGAGCAAGGAGGGAAAGTTCAAAGACAAAAAGGAAAGAGCAGAGTAATTGGAAACGACAACGTATAGCATATATTTGTACAGATTTGTTTATTCCTTTAGTATTAGCTGTAGCTAGTTGTAGAGAGTCACTTGTCTTGTTTTAGTTGGACAAGGTGGTTATGTTAGTTTGTCCTGTAGCTCTGTTTTTCTCTGTACATATTCTGTCGTAAGGCTGCAATGGAAAGCAAGAAAGCATTCCACACAAATTCTGCTTTGATCAATTATTCTCATGGTATCAGAGCCTCTGGCTTACCTCACCTAGGGTTTAGTGACCTCTCGAAAGCGCAGCAATGGCGGCGACGCAGGACGAAGCCACTACAGACACAACTCGAGTCATCACAGGAGCACAGGATCCTGTCACTCTGCAACAACGACAAGCAGTGGATCCTTACTACATTAATCCCAATGAAAACCTGTCTCAAGGTATCATTTCCATCAAACTCGACGGAACCAATTATCATGTATGGAGTAGATCTATGAGAATAGCACTTAAGACCAAGAAGAAACTTGGGTTTGTTAATGGCACATTACCTATGCCTGAACCAACAGATCCAGATTATGAAATCTGGGATCAGAGTAACACCAACGTGATGGGTTGGATTTTGAATTCATTGATTGATCCCATAGCTGAGGCTGTGATGGATAATGAGTCTGGTCAGGAATTGTGGAAAGATATGCATGAAAGATATGGAGAAGCAGATTCAGTAAGATTGGCTCATGTAAAAGGGCTGATTGCATCTTGCAAACAGGAGAAGAGTACTGTGACTGAGTACTATAACAGATTAGGTGTATTCTGGATAGAATATATGTCATTCAAGTCCATTCCACCATGTGAATGTGGTGACACACCTCACACTATGAACTGTGCAACATATGCTGCAGTAAAAGAATCTCAGGAACAGGATCATACCATTGACTTCATCATTGGCCTGAGTGATGCCTTTGAAATGACCAAGAATCAACTTCTGATGATGGATCCAGCTCCAAGCCTCAAGGTAGCATACAAATATGCTCTCAAACTGGAAAGGCAAATGACAAAACAACCACCCAAAGAGGGAGCAAGAGTGGATTCAGTAGCATTGGCTGCCACAAACCAAGGAAGAAATAGAGAACAAAGATCTGAGTATCCAAGAGGAGGAAGACAGAACACCTATCAAGGAAACTATCCTAACAATCAACAGAGAGGAACCAACGAAACAGGAGGAGGTGGCCAACAAAATCTGTTCTGTAACTACTGCAAAAGAACTAACCATGTCATAGCAGACTGCTGGAGACTCAAGAGAAAGAGAGGAGAGTTGGCAGGACCAAACTTTGCTGGAGCAGCCACATCTGGCGGTAATCATGATCAATGAGTCAATAACTTCTCAGCTGCAAATGAACAGGACAACAGAAGTCAGAATACCACTACAATACAACTCACAACAGAGGATTGCAGCAGACTGATGATGCTGTTACAACAAAACAATGGAAGTCAAGCAACAAATCAACCAAACATTCAACCTCAAGCTCACTCAGTTTCTAGACACATCAACCAGATGCCAGACAATGCAAGTAAATTCATTCTATCTACTTTTACTGCCTGTCAACAGAAGGAGTTGTTGAATAGTTGGATTATTGATACTGGAGCATCTGACCACATGTGCTGTAGCCTTTCCCTTTTCACCACACACTGCCCTGATGAAAATGTGTTTGTTACCTTACCAACCAGTGCCAAAATCAAGGTAACACACATTGGAACAGTTAGAATCAATGATAACCTGACCCTAAACAACGTTTTACATGTTCCCAGCTTTACTTTCAACCTCATTTCTGTCAGTTCCCTAACCAAAACTCTACCTATCACCCTAAGCTTTCAATCTGACTTCTGTGTTGTTCAGGACCTTCATACACAGAAGAAGATTGGTTTTGCAAAAGAGCTTAGAGGACTATATCACCTTCACTCAACCATTAACAACCCTGAACCAGCCATCAACTTAGTAGCAGCAGTGAGCAACTCTGAGAGTCAAGACATGCATTTGTGGCATGCTAGATTAGGGCATCTTTCCAATTCCAGAACCAGACTATTTCAAAAATGTAATCCAGAATTACCAGTGAATCTTGTTGATCACTGTGAGACTTGTCATTTAGCTAGACAAAAGAAATTGCCTTTCTCTTCCAGTACTCACATCAGCAAAGAACCTTTTGAACTCATACATTGTGATATCTGGGGTCCTTTAAATACTACCTCCTATGATGGTTTTACCTACTTCCTGACAATTGTGGATGACTTCTCCAGAGCAGTTTGGACTTACCTCATGAAAACTAAATCTGAGGCAAGGCCACTCTTGCAACAATTCTGCACTATGGTGCACAAACAGTTTGACAAACCTGTAAAAACCATACGATCTAACCAAGGAAAGGAATTCCTCATGGCAGATTTCTTTAGAGAACATGGAATCACTCACCAAATGTCCTGTGTTGAAAGACAACAACAAAATGGAAGGGTAGAAAGGAAACATCAGGACATTTTAAACATAGCACGAGCCCTGAGATTTCAATCCAATGTTCCTTTAACCTTCTGGAGTGATTGCATACTCTATGCAGTTCACATCCTCAACAGACTTCCCACACCCATTCTCAATAATAAAACCCCTTTTGAAAAACTCTATATCCAACCACCAGATTACAAACCACTTCGAGTCTTTGGCTCACTATGCTATGCTGCTACCATAGAATCAGGAAGGACTAAGTTTCAACCACGAGCTAGAAGAGGGATGTTCCTTGGCATACTGCCAGGAATCAAAGGATACAAAATATATAATTTATCAACTAAGCAAATTTTTGCTTCAAGAGATGTATCATTCCATGAATCTATTTTCCCTTTTGCATCCACTATGCCACCTAACACCTCTGAAACCCCATCATCCAACACTAATCCTCCTTCTGCTCCTTCATTCTCCTCACCTCAGCCTTTTTCCCATACCCCAGCACATGTTCATTTGCATACAGGTCATAATTCAGCTGATCACACAGCTCCTACTGATGTACAGTCCCCAGGTTTCATTGACTTTGAAACCATGGATGAACACCATGCTGAGATTCAGAATGAAGAGGAAGCAGAAGGAGAAGGGGGGGATAGACACAGCAACTCAATCACCTCAAGCACCTATTTCCTCAAGGAAACCTTCTACTCCATTGAGGAAATCAGGCAGAACAAGCAAACCACCGTTGTGGCATCAGGATTATTTTGTTGGAAACTCTCAGACTAAGTATCCAATATCATCCTTCATGGATTACACTCAACTCAGTCAGGAATACAAACATTACTCTTTTGCAGTAGCTAACCTACATGATCCACAGACTTTTGATGAAGCCATGATGGAAGAATGTTGGAGAGAAGCAGTAAAGGAAGAATTGAGGGCACTGATAGCCAATCATACATGGGACATAGTAGATTGTCCAGTTGGAAAGAAACTTATTGGAAACAAGTGGATTTTTAAGACAAAGCTACTGGCAGATGGTGCAATAGAGAGGTATAAAGCAAGACTCGTGGCACAAGGATTCACTCAGATACCAGGAGTGGATTTCCTGGACACTTTCTCACCAGTAGCAAAGATCAATACCATCAAAATCCTCATGGCAGTGGCAGCTGTCAAGAATTGGCATTTGAGCCAGATGGATATCAGTAATGCTTTTCTAAACGGAGACTTAGAAGAAGAAGTCTACATGAAAATACCATTAGGAATCGAAGGAATGGAAGGGAAAGCCTGTAGGCTAAGAAAATCCCTTTATGGATTGAAGCAGGCAAGCAGGCAGTGGTATGCCAAGCTGACAGAAGCACTGGTAAGTTTTGGATACACTCAATCCTATTCAGACTATTCTCTTTTCACTAAGAAGAATGAAAAAGGAATTGCAGTGATCCTAGTGTATGTAGATGACTTGATTTTATCTGGAGATAATGAAGAACTCATTCAGGAGTCCAAGGACTTTCTATCTAAGCAATTCAAAGTGAGAGATCTTGGGAAGTTAAAATACTTCCTTGGACTGGAAGTGGCTAGAAGCAGTTCTGGGATTTCAGTGACTCAAAGGAAATACTGCCTAGACTTGCTTAAAGACACATGGTTTCTAAATGGTAAACCGTGCAAAACTCCATCAGACATGAAGACTAGACTAACACAGTTTGATGATGAACCAGAAGTGGATCCACATCAATACAAATCACTGATTGGAAGGCTAGGCTATCTAACAACAACGAGACCAGACATATCCTTTGCTGTTCAGCAGCTATGTCAATTTCAAGCTCAGCCAAAAGCATCACATGTGAAAGCAGCACACAGAATATTAAGATACTTAAAGGGCTCCCAGGTCAAGGACTGTTCTTTGCATCAAACACAGTTTTTAGCCTAACTGGCTATAGTGATTCAGACTGGGGGGCTTGCCCTGACACAAGAAGATCAATCACAGGCTATTGCACATTCCTGGGAAACTCATTGATTACCTGGAAAGCAAAGAAGCAAGCAATAGTCTCAAAGTCCTCTTCGGAGGCAGAGTACAGAGCATTGGCTCAAATGTCGTGTGAAATTCAGTGGGTTACACAGGTGCTGAAGGACTTGAGAATCGACTACAATGGACCAGCAACAGCATACTGTGACAACAAATCAGCAATTCACATGGCGGAAAACCCAGTGTTTCACGAAAGAACGAAACACATAGAGATCGATTGCCACATTATAAGAGAAAGGGTGAAGTCAGGATTGATCAATCTGAGATATGTTTGTACTGACCGAAACTTAGCAGATGTTTTCACGAAGGGACTCAGCGCGCACCGGTTCAAATGGATCATCTTCAAGCTGGGAGTATACGATATATACTCGCCAGCTTGTGGGGGGCTGTCAAGCTCCATGAGCAGTAGAGAAGAGAAGGAAGAAGATGAAGAAGAGTCCCCTGATTGGCAACGGTCGACTGAGCAAGGAGGGAAAGTTCAAAGACAAAAAGGAAAGAGCATAGTAATTGGAAACGACAACGTATAGCATATATTTGTACAGATTTGTTTATTCCTTTAGTATTAGCTGTAGCTAGTTGTAGAGAGCCACTTGTCTTGTTTTAGTTGGACAAGGTGGTTATGTTAGTTTGTCCTGTAGCTCTGTTTTTCTCTGTACATATTCTGCCGTAAGGCTGCAATGGAAAGCAAGAAAGCATTCCACACAAATTCTGCTTTGATCAATTATTCTCAGGAACGGCGGCGGCGTCTCCGTCTTCTCTTCGCTTTGCGATGCAAATTGGCAGAGTGAGGGCTGAGGGTCGATTGCAGATGCAGAGAGGCCGCTCCTTCGATTAGGGTTAGGAGAGTGAGGGCTGAGGGCGTCGTCGTTTCAATGGCTGGTTAGCCGGTTAACCGGCGGTTACCACCTTCGGTTAGCCGGTTAACCGGCACAGGCTGACCTGCTACCGCCAACCGCGCGAAGTTTCAATTTTCGCTCAGCCGGTTAACCGGTAACCGGCGGTTATCAGTTTAACCGACCGGTTAACCGGTAACCGCTAACCGAACGACCAATCCTAATAAAGGTAGCTAGTGCATATTGATCTACCAGGTGGTAACACGTAGTAATGGGTGGTAAAAAAATATTTCTCAAAATATGTCAAAAATATATATTATTTTGTAGATCACATAAACTACTCTCATGTATAAATTAAAAAAAGATACAATCCAGTAAAATATATATATTTTAACCTCACTTTTTAAATCAAGCTTCACTCAAGAAGCAACAAACCAAATGGGATCATGCAACCCTAATCACCACCAACGGGCTCAATTCTCTGCATTCTCCTACTCCATCTGACATTCGACTCGGCTGGAAAAAAAATATCAACTACCGAAGGTAATTCCGTAATTATATATTTGACTAAATAATGAACCCCTTATTCTTTACAGTTTTCGTGAACTACCAATTGTAAGTGACTAACTATCCATTAATCTTATATTACTCAACGTTTCCAAATTCTACCTTTATTTAAGATGACCATAGCCATTCTCTGTATACACAATACAATGTGGATTAATTAAACAGTATATTTATATTACAAAATAACATAGCCAGCAAAATCCAAAAGAAACCGTTATAATAAGTCGAGAGATTGTACACATAAAAATACAAAATGCAAAAGAAAATCCCTCGATCGGTACTAGTGCTCAACTCACCGTAAATTCAAATCAGCCGCAGCGGAAATCTCAAAGCTGCTCCACGCTGAGTTCCCAAACATCATCATTAGATCACTGTAACCATGATCAGGCGGAGGCAGCTGCTTTTCTTGATGATGTGGATTCGACGACGATGACACGTGGAACAAGCTGATTCCTTGATCTCCTGCAGGCGGAAGTAGCGGAAGCCGCCCTTCGTGGTCGTTGCTTGCCGTCCAAGCATCATCAAGCCCGCCGCAGCCCTCCGGCTGACAGTAGTACTGCATCATCATCATCGGATCTTGATCCTCACCGGCCGGATCCACGTTACCATGAACCAACGCCGGCGGCGGCGGCAGCTGATGATGAAGCTGGGGATTACTACTACTAGTAGTGTTGAGGAAGTTGGCGTAGACGACGGCGAGGTCGATGTGGGACCCACTGCCGTGAGACAATGACGGCTTGGTAGTGTTGATAATGTTGTTGTTGTTGTGAAGGTGGTGGTGGTAGGATGGCGGCGGCGGTGGGAGGGAGGAGGATCGGATGGTGCGGTGGTTGCGGGACTTGCGGGAGGCGCCGCCGACGGGGACGTTGCGGAGGGAGCCGCCTTTGGTCCAGTAGCGGCGGCAGGACTTGCAGAAGAAGCGGGGCTGGCTCAGGCTGTAGTTGTTGTAGTAGCAGAACTTGGTGTTCGACGACCCGCACCGCGGGCAGTTTGGGGTCGACGCGCGCGGCCGCTCCACCGCCGTCACGCCGCCGACGTTGCTGCTACTCCTCCACACCAATCCTCTTTCGTCCATGATTGGAACGAACGAGGTTGGTTAGCTCTGAATTATTACTGGTAGTGCTGCTATATATGCCAGCCAGCCAGCCAGCCTTCTCTCTCACTCTAACCTTCTCCCGCGCGCGTGTGGAGAAGAATTGGTTAGGAGAGAGAGAGAGTGAGGGGAGTACGTATCACGTATGTTGTTTTTGGACCGTTAGCTGCCTCCAGTCCACACACTACTCATCGTTGTAGTCGAACGTACGATACGACTTTTAAACTAGTTTTGGGTGGAGTAGTGGCCGACCTTGGAATTTTATACGGGATGTTCTTTTTATAAAATAAATATAAATAATAATTAGTGAATAAATAATAGAATATTCAAATATATATGTTATAACAAAAACTCACAAAATATTTTCATATTCTGAAACAATTGTAAAATACACTCACTGTGTAAGGGGCCTCAACAAAATTCCGGAGGTGGAGTAGTTTCGGATTTAGAAATTTTATAAAGTGGCGTCTCCTCTCAGAAAACGTAAAAAAGAATTTAAAATTCATAAGTAAGAAAAATATTCGAGTTAAAACAAAAAAAAAACTCACGGCGTGATTTTTATATAATGAAAGAGCGGTAAAATACATTCATTGTGTATAGTGCTAAAAAAAATTCATTATATCCTACTAGACAATCATTCATGAACTGATTGTCTATTTGATTTTGAAGTTTGTTCTTAGGGGTCGTTTGGAAGTTGCGATTGTTTTGTTGAGATTGTCATTATGCATGTATTGTTTACAATGTGTCGTTTTTTTTTGTTTTTTAGCATAAACAATACATGGATTGTTTCTATGATGTGACAGAAACTATCACTCATTATGAGTGATTGTTATATCTCTGGATCCAAACGACCCCTTAGTGTGTTAGAATGGTGGAGAAGGAGTAGTAGTTCGTAGTCATATTGGGATTAATTTGTAGGTAGAGGCGGATCTAGGGCTGGGCCAACCCTGGCCACAGCCCAGCCCTCCGCCGGATCCAGAGCTAGTGTAGTGCTTATAATTTTTCAATTTTAGATATTTGACCCAGTACAATTTAAAAGTTGGTCGAGTGTTATTTGATAATATAATTTTTTGTAGCTAGAAAAATGGTCTAGATGAACATATGCAAACCACTACTGTCAATATAGTCTAGAAATTCTAGCCCGAATGATTTTCACTTGAAAAAAAACAATAAAACATAAAAGTCTAAAACGTAAAAGATTGTATAAATTTTCATTGAAATCAGAAAACCCTCTAAACAAATTGATTTGTTGATTGACTCGTCTAGTTTTGACCTTGCCCGTTTCAGCGGCTACCATGGAGAGAACATTTTAAGCAATGAAATATGTGAAAACTAATTTTCACAACAAAATGCGCAGTGAATTTCTCGTTGATTGCTTAGCTATTTTCTTTGAGAGAGAGTATGCTATTTATATGGATGAAGATTCTATTATTGATGGATTTGCCAAATTAAAAAACCATCTATTACAATTGGTATTGTAATGAATGAAAACTATAGTTATTATATATTTTTTGGTAAATACAATTTTTTAGCCAAACCTTTCATACTTTTCAAATTATTAGCTAAACCTTTCGAAATATTAAATATTAGCTAAATATTTCGGAACGCATCAAAATATTAGCCATTTGTCTATTATCGTTGGTAATTTTGTAAATATCTTTTATTTGAAATATTAAAATTTTAAAATGTTGACTATTTTTGTTTACTATATCTAATATTATATTTAAATGCGATCCAATATTGTACTATGTTCTGGATCCACCGTTGTTTGTAGGTTATGAAAAAATTGGGGGATAAAGGGTAGTTGCGTTACATTTATATTTTGTATAAAACAATGAATGAGTTGTAGTATAATTGAGAATCTGTTTATTAATAACAACAATGCCACGGGTTGAAATCACCAATGGCGGATCTAGGGGGAGGTCTCTTTGGACTACTTCTCAACCCTTCTCTGAGTACATAGTTAGTATAACACTTATAAAAATTTAGATAGTTGGTACAGTGCTAGTGAGGTCACGATCAAACCTTTTTCGCCTTTTTTTAAATGTGATCGATCTAGTTCTCTACTATGTCCTGAATCCGTCGACGAAAATCCCATAAACTACTCTCATTTTTCTCTCCCTTTATTTCTCATACTGTAACTACTAGTAGAAGATCGATAATCGTTTTCTCAAATGTTAAGGATGTTGCCTCTTGAAGTGGAGAGATGAGTGGGGGGCATCGGGAATGGGAGTGGGAGAGAAGACGGGAAGGGTAAGTTTGTTGGAGGTCGTAAGAGCACATGGGCATGTACATGAGATTTGCCGCCATTTTGTGGTGTGTCAACTTGCTACAATTAGGGTTAGTGGGTGTGTAGGGCATGCAGGGGAATTCCTGGTGCCGCCGAGGACGACGGCTCCTACGTATGCGCTCCCCTGTATCTGTTATGTATATAACTATGAATATATGTACAGTCTGTCGGAGGCTTATTCCTACGTGGCGGGACTGGATTGGTAGGCATGTTGGTGAGGAAGGAGGCATTTCCCTCGAGACGGGGTGATCTAACGTTGGTTCTTGGACGACGTAATATAATGGGGGCAGGAAAGTAGAAAAGAGACAAACTTGGAACGTGAAACTGTCTCCCGCTGTGATCACTCCCATCGCCGGTAGCTTAAAATTGTTTTGTTTGCAGTCATTATAACAACGCTCTTATCAAATTTCACCGGGATCGAGCTTGCTATTTGCGTATTGTCATTCATATTACCCCTGTGCATGAGCCAATGGTTAGTGCTTTTTCTGGTGATTAAATCTCAAAATACACTTGAACTTTGGATTGCAGCTATGAATCTTATAAGGTGGTACAAAGCCACTCCTGATCCGAAGTATCAGTTGGTTCAAATAACTCGAACTGTTGGAAGACATTGATGTTCTTTTCAACATGGATCTTATACAATTTACTAACACGCCTACTCAGACGAAAACCAACTCATAATAGTTTGAAATTTGCATAGGTCCGAATACATTGCGCTATCAAATGAGGATTATCTTAATTCAAACACAAAACCCCTCGATCATCGAAGACTATGTAGATATCATGTCATATACCTATTGACTCTAATAACTCAAGTTTTTGATATAAGTTCTTCAATATGGATCATATAACATCTACTATCAACTTTGATCTGACTCTATAATGTATATATATATATAAAACTTGTGGGTCGGAGTTGGAATACTCGTATAATCCAGACTTCCGACCGAGAAGGTGACAATGTCGCACATCACATAGCAAATTCAGAGTATGACTTGAATGTGGCATTCATGGTATCGATTTAACAATTGATTAAAACGTTCACTCAAATGAAAGTCAACTCATATGAGTTTGAAGTTTGCATATATAGGTCCGAATACATTATGCTAATTAATGAGGATCGTCAGAATTCAAACACAAAATCTCTCGATCATAGAAGACTCTGCAAATATCATATCACGCGTTTCAATTGATGCCAGTAACTCGAGTTGTGAGAGAAGTTCTTCAATATGGATCCTATATATAACGTTAACTAACACCTCTCATCTTACTCTATTATATAACCAACTTGTGGGTCGAAGTTGGAACACTGCTGGTATTATCCAGACTTGCCGAGAAGGTGACACTGAAGCTCATCACATAGCAAATTCAGAGTATGAATTGAATGTAGCATTCAAATATCGATGGTAGTGAACCTAGACTTAAGTACTGTCTTCTTCTGTATGATGGTTTCTGGATTCTGCGAACCTTATCTCGTTAATAATATGGATTATTATAGTGCCCTTGCATTATGTTTTCACCAAATCAAAAATTTCACTGTTATCAAAACACCAATCTAATTTAACCCTGACAAGAAAGTGTATATGTGTAGCTACTTGGAGGCTGAAAAGGTTTAATTAATGAATGAGCACTCTGTTTCTGTTACCTAAACTCTAGTATTAAGTATTAACTAGTGATTAAGGCACCGAAAAAGGTGTTACTTGTCTGTTGTTCTTAACTAATTTGTTGTTGGGTAGCGTAAAGTCTGTTGCTCATCTTGGAAGGAACAACCATATCCTATCACACATGCACACGGTTGAAGGCTTGATCGCGCACATGCATGCATGGATTTGCGCATACGATATATAGAATAAAAAGAAAGTAAAAAGTTCTTATTAAGGTATGAGTTTCTTGAATAAGGAATGTCTATGATTAACATTAGTATATGATTATTAACTAAAGAATAAATAGTAAGGAGGGGGATCTCTTGGATCATGGGCTCCCTTGGATCTACCAAATATGTTTCCTCAATTCTCACAAATTAATATTTCCTACTTGATTGAAGAAAGGGAAGGGATGGGGCATCGAAGAACTAAAACCGCATCCTATGCATTCTAATAAGCTAGCTAGAGAACTTCAATGGTAAATCTTTCGAGATTGAGAAGTATGGAGCTAGCCACAAGCCAAGCATTTCTTATGGCAATTCATAGAGTCAGTGGCGGAGTCACGATTTGGTGTTCGGAGGGTTTGAGTATTTTTATTCAGTAGCCCTGAAAAGGGGATAAAAATTTAAGCAAGACAATAAAAAAAACTATTATTATTGTTTTTTTAGTTGATTAGAGTTACTCAAAACAAGATTTATCATAATCGAGCTTGTGCTACATGCAAAGGAATTATGTCTAGTTAATGCGTGCTTTCGTTTCATGCCATTAGACTAATCAATCAAACAAAAAAGTATGGATATAGCACATTAATTATTTAGGACCTCTACGAACAATAGCAACAGTCTAATATCCTGATGTTCTAGGGTACGTATCAAGCATTGTACATAGTCGAGCATATAGATGGTTGATTATTTCATTCCATACACGCTTGAGACAATGACATATCACACAAGATGTACTTTCCTAACAACTTAACATGATATTATAAAGGATAATGTCTATTTTTTATCCAAACCTTTTTAAGATTCTTTTGTATTGTTCAAACCTATTAAATCCTATTAATAGCCAAATCTTTCATAATGCATCAAAATATTAGTCATTTTACGTTATTGTTAAATAATTTTGTAACTCTTTTCTTAGTTAAAATACTAAATTTTTTGAATATTGACCTTCATGTGTCTCTTCCAAGTCGGTATCATGTTGCCAAGTCAATATTACTAACAAAAATGTTATTTGGAAATTAACATTTGGCTAATTCTTAGTATTTTGATAGTTTTGGCTAGTAAAAATGAATCCGAAAAAGGTTTGGCTAATAAATAGTCATTACCCTATTATAAACTACACTATGGTAGTACATAACAAAGGATGAAGGCATTGCATGGTTAAGGCATCATATATAAAACTAAGATACTCGAATAGCATAAGCATCGCGTGACTAAGGCATCCTATGGTATAATCATTGAATAACATAAATAAACAATGACCAAAGAACCATCATTCAGAGAAAGAATATGCATAAAGAATCAATAGAATTCACTTCCTCAACAACGAATTTGAACTAATAATACATAGAAGAGAATGATGGTACCACCATTGATGATGAAGGCATCTGCTAGTTGCACCCTCCTGTGAATGCTAATTTGGCCTCCCTCGAGGCGAGTAGCTCCTTTCTTGAATTACTTAGAGTGATTTTAGTGAATATTTGCAGCCTACAGAATTCTTTAACCTGACCCTCTATTTATGGTGGAAGAAAGAGGGGGTTTAATGGTCTTTTGATCACAAAACGAGGCCAAAAGCTTCCTATTACCACTGGACCTCGGATGACTTGACTTTAGAACAAAGAAAAGAAGATTCCAGAAGATTCCATGAGCATGACGGTGGTCACCACCATCGTAGGTTTCCTCCGGTTTTTGGCTTACCTAGCCCATAAGTAACTGTTTCCTTCAAATTCAACACAACGTGATGGGTTTGGCCTAGTGATAGTTGCCACCATCACAAGGCCATTGTGGGTTTTTGCGCATGCTTGGGCTGAAATCTCTCCAGTGAACTCCTCTTTGACATTTATGAGCACTTCATGAAGGCTTCCCTTCCATTTGGCTTTGTTTAATGGAAGAATCACTTTGAGCTTCTAGCAATTGTCCATCTTCATCCTCCAACTTGATTCAACTGTTGATCCAAATCATCATAGAGTGTGTTTGACCTTGAAAAGAACAAAACAGTACCAACTTTGTTCCTCTACCTAGAAACTCTTCCTGCATAATTTGAAGCTTTTATTATGACATCCTATGTTTTCTCCACCATTGCTCGGTAGTTGATGGGTCACACACCCGACATACATGTTTTGGCCTTGTATGTTAATAACTCAATATAGTGACCTAACGGTCGCCGACCGACTAAACATACCAATAGTCACCAAATTCATATGGGCTACTGACAAACAAGCAATAATCTTTTTAAGATTGATCTGTTTTGAAGTGGTGAACGAAGTATATATTATAACAATCGTGCTTGAAGTATAAATGAAAGGAGTTAAAGAAAATGTCTAATTCCAGCTGAAGCCAACCCAAGAATGTGAGTGTTATAGATGATCCAAGGTTGTTGGAGCGATGGAGGTAGATTTGTTATGAGTTGTTTTATGGTGGAGAATTCCATTCAAGGCTAGGAAGAAAAAAAGAGAGAAGAAAACGAATGAGGAACCCTAGAAAGGTTGTTCAGACACTGATACAAAGAAATTTAGGTGAGTTGAAAACTTGCTCTACTTTTTTATTTGCTTTCTATCTTTTCGGACACACAAATCAAACTGTAATGTATTAGGCGAATCTCACATCAATAAAGTACGAAAGAATCCATGATTTATAAGTAAGAAGTTGAATTTAATTGACAAGATGCATTTTGCGGTAAAATAGAAGAGTTTTTGTAAGAACTCTGCGATTCCCTGGTAACGATGATCAACATTAGTTTGAACTTTGAAGAACCAGGGTTGTAGTGATGGTCTACGGTCTAGCCTACGTAACAGGAGGGTCTCGATCGCAAATCTCACGACATCGCTGATAATCCCTGTTATGGTTGTCGATGGAACGATGATCGAGAATCAGCTTTGCATCATTTGCAAACCCCCCAAAAAGAACATTTGCAAACGAAAGCTAGGGTTTTTCCTAGCTGATGATCGTGTGCCTGGTGGTGATACGCCCAAAGGTGTACGATTTTTGAAAATTAAGGCGTGGTGCTGCAAGTTACCATCGTCGAGTGAAATGGGTTGTGATGACGGGGATGTACCCCATCCTCTCCCCATGATCAGTGTTCTCCATGGCAGTATAATGGAGGTGCAAATCATCCCCACCTGACCAAAATCTCGTCCCCAAGATGGGGCACAGGTCTTTCCGGCGGTGGGAGAATTACCGCCCGCAAAAATTTCCCGGCCTGGCCCAATAATGGTCTGCCAACATGCTCCTTACGTGGTGAAATAGCCGCTGCGTCAGATCAGGGGAAAAATCTGATGGATATCTGCATCTCAGATTTTACGGTTAGTTTACGGGTATCTCTCTCCCTACGTATCCTTAAACGAGGGGGAAACTCTAAGAGTCCTCAAACTACTTTGAGTCAAAGACTCCAATTCCAACTATACAACTATTTGCCTGAAGGGAAATACGGCTCTACTGTCTCTATAAGACACTGCCCCAACCTGGCTTTTCTCCTACCACATAAAAACGAAGAGAGTCTTAGTCGGCAGTGACGAGAAGAGCTTCTCCCCTCAGGCTTCAATATCATTCTGGTACGTGGAGGTTTAATGGTGTTGATGTTACTCTCCTACTATGGATTGATACCACCTTGGTTGGAATTTTTTCATACTATTTCTCTTACTTCCTGTGGTCACCAGTAGAGCCCTGGGGTTATATGGTCGATGCAGGTGATCCTCATGTGCTTCATTTTTTGCAGGACGACACAATAGCACATGTTACTCGGGATCAAGTTGTGCAATTTTCCTTAGAGAAGATCCAAGCGGACAAGGTTCGCAAATCCCTAGGGCTGTGGGCCGCCTTTTCACTGACAGCTGAGTTACTCCAACTGAACTTCGCGACTGGGTGAATAAACTGTGGCAGGGGCAGGGACGTATTAAGGTGCGAATGGTAGAGTTCGTTCTCCCTAATGAGGCTACCAAAACTTGGGTTCTCCAACGCACACCCTGGGTGATTAGAGATATGATTCTCCATCTTCGTGCCTGGACCCCAATGATCGCAAAATCAACTTTTGAGGAGCTCGTGTTAGCTCCATTTCCTGTCCAATTGTGGGAAGTTCAAAAAGGTTGTTGTACCGAGCAGTTTGGAAGGAAAGTGGCGGCAACTACTCTCGGCCGAGTTTTGGAGGTAGGCGTGTACGCCTGTACTGACACTGCTCGCCCTTTCGTCAAGGTTAAGGCTCTTCTTGATTTTTTGAAACTGCTGTCGTCGCAAATCATGCCTGCTAATGATGAAATGGGGTGCTTTTGGATGAGCTTGAAATATGAACACTTGCTAAGTTTATGTTTTCATTGTGGGTGGGTAGGGCACTCTTACCGTGCCTGCACTTTCGATCCACTAGTCAGAAAGGAGAGATTTGGCCCTCACATGTCCACCAAGAAGCTAGGACGGAGAATCTATGATGAAGATGAGGCTAACTTGCGCTACAGGGGCATCTCGAGTTCGGTATGGGTGAACAAGGAGCATAAGGATCCTATCGATACTGATAACAAACCTTTTCATCGTGGACGGAGTGGATAGGGTGAGATCTAATGCTGGGAGGCACTTTAATACTGGCGAGAGCCTTTTATGGATGGGGACCTCATCGAACCCATTTATGGAGGTGGAAAAGACGGGAAAGCAACAAGGTAGCCCTTACAAGTTCTCAATGGCTAAGGCTACCGAGATTAATATCGGGAAGCGTTTCCATAAGTCTATGGGTCGGATTGGAGATGCGAACAGCCTGAAAGAGAAGCGCTAGAGGCGAATGTAGCCGAGTGTATCCAAGGGACGTAAAAACTTGGGACTTGGTAATCAAGCTGAAGGATCGGGTGAGTGGAGGATGAAAGAATATTGATTTTCCTCACCTTAAGCCGGAGGCTGCCCATCACATCAGGGAGAAGGAGATGGCTAGACGTCGTCGGCTAATCCTAGAGGCTGATTCGGATGATGATATCCAATCACCTAATGCATCCATGCATGCATATATATGTGAGGATATCACTCGGCATCCTACTCAGCTAGAGGAGCAACAGTCGAACCGCCCATTATCTCCTGCCGAGACATCATTTGAAGCTCTGCAGAAAGGGGAGAATTCCCCTCACCTGTCAAGTGCCAAGCGCGCGGAGACCAGAGCAGCTAAGCAAGGAGTTAAACCTCGCCGAGGCAGGGTGGACAACAACGCGAGCAACAGGCCAAGCGCAAGAAAGGAAGGGTTGCCCCGCTCTAGAATGATGTGTCTGTACTGGAAAGGGATGAGGCTGATCCGCAGCTAGTCTCTTTTGATGTTGACCAGTATGTTCATAAGGAGCTGGAGGACTCAGAAGTGAAATTTTTGAAGAGGATCCCCAGCTCTTTGAGTTAAAAAAACATGTTCCCATGGAAAATAAAAACATGGGGCGAAGGGTTAAGAATGGATAGGTGAGCAAAGTCATCAAGGATTTTGAAGTTGGGCTGGCTATGGATGATTCGGGTATGAGGTACGGCCCATGAAAACCTCTAAACCCAGCAGTGAAGAAGAGGCTAGAGTCGGCAAAAGCTAAGAATGAGGCAGTGCCTCAAAGCCTCAATGAGTATGGCACAAATTTTGGTGATCCTGGGGTTGGCGGTAAGAAATGTGTGCTTGTTGAACTGGATGGGGAAATCGCTGAAACCCCTACCCCCTAAATTTTTTTTTGTGGAAGATAAGGATGGTACTGATAAGGTGGAGGAAGCCAGCCTTGAATGGCCCCAACTGGATAAATGAGGCTTCTAGCCTAGAATGTGAGGGAAATTGGACCATCACTCACATTCCAAACTGCTGTCGATTTAGTTCATTCAAATAAACTGGATCTCGTATTTTTTTCTAAAACACGATCGAGCCGGAGAGTAGTCTCCCGCTGTATGTGGGGTTTAGGGTTTGATATTTCTCATTGTTTTTTTGTAGATGCGGTTGAGGCATCTGGTGGTTTAGTGATAGCTTGGCCCCCCGAAGTTGAGGCTTCGGTGTTTTTTCATTCCAACTTCTGTATTTGTGCTCAAATTAATGAAGTGGATTTTTCGTATGTTGTGATTTATGTTTACATTATTTGTAATGTTGCAATAAGAGCCACCTAATTGGCCAAACTCCAGGAAATCTGTGAAACCATCCATTTTCCCTATGTTGTCAATGGCGATTTTAACGCTACTCTTCATGAGAGTGAAAAAGATTGTGGGAACCCTTGGAACGTTGCTCACTCTGTATGCCTGCGTGATTTTACTCATAACTTTATAACCAAAATCATGGTTGAAAGGCTTGCTTCCCTCTTACCACAAATTATCTCGGATGGTCAAAATGCTTTCATTCGAGAACGACAAATTGTTGAGAATATCCTCCTTGTGCATGGGTCAATGCACTACTTGAAATCAAAACGCGAGGTAAGAAAGGGTACATGGCTCTAAAGGTTGACATGGAAAAGGCTTATAATAGAGTCGAATGGTCGTTTCTTCTCGCAGTTTTGGACAAGATGGGTTTTAACTCCACCTGCCAAGGATGGATACAGGAATGCCTTAGGTCGTCGTCGTTTTATGTTCTAATGAATGTCTCTCCCTCAGGGTACTTCACTCCCTCCAGGGGACTCCAATAGGGGGATCCTCTCACCCCTCTCTTGTTTGTGATCTGCACAGAGGGGTTTGCAGTGCTCCTTTGCAAGGCTATTTCAGGAAAAAAGCTTGAAGGAGTTAAAGTGGCTCCTCGTGCCCTCCGGATCTCGCATTTTTTTTTTTTTTTGCATATGATTCTTATTTATTCCTGCGAGGCTCTCTCCTGGACTGTGAGAATTTGATCGAGGTTTTGAATGACTATGAGGAACTTAGTGGTCAGCGAGTGAACTTGGCTAAATCGACAGTTTGCTTTAGTAAAAATATTGCTCTGCTTGATCAAGAATTCTTGGCTGGGATTCTGGGTGTCGGGGTGGTAGGTGTCCATGATAAGTATCTGAGTTTACCTACGCTGATTGCCCGGTCTAAAATGGCTACTTTCCGGTAGAGGATAAATTATTGGAGCGACTGCAGGGATGGAAGCAGAGGACGTTATCTTGGGCGGCAAAAGAAACTTTGATTAAATCAATTGCCTTGGAGTTGCCATTGCATGTGATGTCCTATTTCAAGTTACCCCTCTCTCTGTGTTGTCTACTAGACAAACATGTGGCCCGATTTTGGTGGGGTGCTGATGAGGGTCATTCGAGGATTTGTTGGATTTCCTGTCGCTGTATATGCAGGAGTAAACATGATGGGGGATGGGTTTTTGCCGATTTGAACATTTTAATCAGGCTCTTTTAGCCAAAATTGGATGGCGTATCTTTAATGAACCCCAGTCTCTTTTAGCCCAGGTCTATAAAGGAAAGTGTTTTCCGAATGGGACATTCCTCAAGGCTATGGCTCACTCTCGCCCTTCGTAGGGATGGTAATGTATCCTTTTTGGTCGACATCTATTGGAGATGGGGTTAAGATGGAAGATTGGTAATGGTCGGACTGCTCCTCTGCTTCATTCCAACTGGATTCCTCGGTTACAACTTGATCCCCCTTGGTATAATCCACTGGTATTACCAGATGGGGGTGTTCCGCCAGTTGCTGAGATTGTTTGTTAGGGGGAAGGGCGTTGGTGTAATCTCAAACTTAGCTAGTGGTTTGACCCGTCTACTTGTCGTGCCATCAAAGCTATTCCTCTTCCGCGTCAAAATTTGGAGGATAGACTAATCTGGCATGATACACCTGATGGGTTTTTTTCTTTTAAGTCAGCCTATCATTTAGCTGTCTCACTTGACAAGCAGAGGGGTCGTTAGGGATGGCAATGGGTAGGGTTGGGTCAGGTTTTGCCAAACCCAAACCCAAACCCATGGGTTTATCCGTGAAAAAAACCCATGGTAAAACCCACTGGGTTTGAAAAACTCAAACCCAACCCAACCCGCTGGGTATCCGTGGGTTCATGGGTACCCACGGGTTTTTGTCGTAAAAAATTTACAATAACAAGTTCCTATCAAAATCAAATTCAAATATCAATCTCTCAATACAAATTATCCATATATAAAACACCATTCTAGAAAATTCAAGCAAATCACAAATATACTATACAAATTGTTCAACACCAATCTAGAAAACTCAATAAAATTGAAGCAAATCACAAATTATCTATAAATAACATGATTAATTGAAAGCTTCTTCCTTTCAATTAAGTTTCTTCATTCTCCACTCGATGACATCAACTTCATTCTACACAATTAGAAAGAAAAAATTAGACATGTCTCCACAAACATATATAAGATTAGTTGTTAATAATATTAGATATACCGAGAAAATTAACTATATGGGTATGGGTCGGGTTTACCTAAACCCAAACCCAACCCAACCTGGCGAATAGTGAACGGATTTAAACCCAAACCCGGCCCAAAACCCGTCAACACGGATTTTACCCGCGTTGACCGGGTTGGGTCGGGTGGGTACCCGTGGGTTTGAGTTTTGTTGCCATCCCTAGGGGTCGTTGGAGGTCCACGGCTAGTTGGATGGATAAGACCAGCTGTATTCGTTTATGGGACGCTAATATTCCTCCCAAATTGAAAGTATTTTTCTAGAAAATCTTCAACTGAATCTTGCTAGCTACTGAAGCCCTCATTGAAAAGACATCCTTGTGCTTCCTAGATGTCTGGTTTGTTGGGCGGATTCTAAAACAATGGAGCATTTTTTTCTTGATTTTCCGGTGGCGCGTGCCCTTTGGGACTATTCAGGTCTGGAGTATCTGGGAGAGGGGTTTCCTCGTCATACCTTCCCGCTATTTCTTAAGAGGTTGATGTCGTTAATACATCAATTGTCACTGTTCATGGCATGGGTTGCCTTCCTCTAGAGGATTTGGCGATCTCGTAACTGAGTTGTCTTTGATGGTAAACAATTTGGGATCCCTGCATTGATGCGCCAGTTTAATCAGCAATATAAGGAGTGGGTAAATTTGCCGGTGGATTGGGATCTCATGCTACTCTCCCCTCCATGCAACAATTAGGTCCTGTGGGGGCTAGTATGGTTGTTTGTATGTGGGATGGGGCTATTAAGAGTGGGTCTCATTCGGCTGGTGGAATGGTTATGATGAACCCAACTAGGGACATCCTTATGGCTAACGGGATTCAATTTCTGTTGATTGATGACCCTATGGTGGTAGAATTGCTCGTGCTCCGAGAAGCTATTCTCTGGTGTCTGGATCATGGTTGTACGGAAATTAGATTCGAAGGAGATGCCAAAGTGATCATTGATAAGATCAATTAGGCTGATACCAGTGGTAATCAGATGCGGGCTATTGTTGAAGAAATTGTGCATTACTTTGCCATCCATTCTGGGTTTAGTGTTCGATTTGTAGGTCGGCGTAGTAATAGGGTAGCCCATATGGTGGCTAGAAATGCCCTTTCTTTGTGGCTAGAAAGGCCCATTCTGGCTGAAATCTAGGATGTAATTATCTATTCTTTGAATCAATATATGATTATCTTTTGTCAAAAAAAAAATTGTAAGAACTCTGAAGATAAACGTGCTCATTGTGGAGCACTACAAGGATGGATGACCTTATATGAATTCACCTTGATATGCAGCCCAAGTAGGGGTGGGCATACGCTTCGGTAAAACCGATCCAAAACCGAATTAATGTTATTCGATTCGGAACTTGGGAGGGAAAACGACATATTTCGGAAACAGGGTCCTTTCGACCGAACCGAATAACCAAATTACTATAATTGCAAGCTTCAAATGGCATTTTTTATGTTTGTACTTATTATGAGACTTAAATATTTAAATCATGTTAGTGTTTTACGACTTATGTGTTGAAATGTTTGATTGTATCATTGATCATGCATATAATTGCATATTTATTGTTTACATTAGGGGTGAAAAATCATTTAAAAGAGAGAAGATACAAGCTAACCTCACAAGTTCGGTTTTGTACGAAAAAATGAACCAAATCATAATTCGGTTAGGACCGACCGAACCGAATAAGAATTCAGTACAAATTCTTTTTGAGATTTGATGGAATTCGGGGACCCGGTATGTATTATTTTGGTTCAGTTCAAATCGAACAAACTGAATGCCCACCCCTAAGCCCAAGGCAAAATCTGTGAGGGTCTAGATCCAAAGTGGATAATATCTTACCGGTAAAAAGTTCGGGATGTTACAAGTGGTAACAAAGCCTCAATGTGTCCCTCTTGAACGATGATGGGGCAAACCTCAACAAAGACGTTGCGTTCTAAAGGGTGTGTATGTAACACCTTAGACAAATCTCACATCG